AGGGTCGCGGTGAAATTGACGGACCTAGAATCTCACGGCTTGACTCCCACGCATTCGCCAGAATGACTGAGAGGTTCTGCGTGGCTTTGCAACGAAAAGATTTAGAAATCTGTGAAGATAAAGTACCTAGTACGACTAGGCGCGCAGCTTTTTTTTGGGAACGATGATTCTCTAGAGTGTGCGTGCCTTTACAGCTGCTCGAGAGTAGGAGGAAGTCTTGCGCTAGCTACTGTTAGGACGACACATCAAGCAAAACAAGATCACCCACGGATACCCGGGACCAAGTCAGGATGGTAGACAAGTTAAAGAATGGTCGGGGATCTGCTGTGTTGGAGTGTAGATGCAGTGGGACTGGAAAAAACGCAGAGAAGAGACATTGTTGGAGTATGCTCGTCGATGCCAAGCTATTGTAGCATACTTTCCGGGAAATGGTATTGACCCAGTGGATGGCACCGGCACGGTATGAGGCATAATGAATGACCAAAGCTTGGGAATCTCGTGTTAACAAAAGCTGCTTGGCCTTTCACCTTTGCTCTACTTAGGTGACTAAACAAGAAAGAATCCTCGGGTCGTCCATGAGGACCTCTGACAGCCACAGCAACCCTTGTGGAATGATAGATTGAAAGTGGAACTCCAGACGCATTGTTCTTGAGGCTCTGTGAGTGCCAAATCGGCTCGGATATAGTAGATGAGAAGCCTCAACTTGGGCCTCCAGGTGAAAACTCTGACCTTCTGATAGTAACGCAGAAAAATAATATCTTTAATTTAACTACCTAAGTGCCTAGTCACCGAGTATATCAACAGGATCTAATCTATATCATGAGGGGCAATGCAGTCCTAGATATTCCTGCACAGAGAAATAATTTTAGTATTGTGAATACTAAGAGTATACGTCTTGTAATTGCAATTGTTGATACTGCTATCAACACGTTGCCCTAAGGAAAATAAATTGTCTGTATCAAAGGAATCTAAGAATGGAAGAAAACTTCCCCGTTTCGAACTCTTAGGTGCGGTGTGGGATAAGAATCGCTATCTATTAGCACAGGCAGCATAATGGAGTAGACCAGCCTTTGCTTCCTACGTAGGTACAGGTACATTGCTACTAAGTAGCCAACATAATTAAAAATAAATAAATAAAAATAAAAATAAAACACCCTAGCACCTATTGTTTGCTGCATTGTTGATTTCCTAGCCTGCCCACCTGGTGGTTCCCATTCTACTGCACTTTGAACTCCACACGTCTCCTAGGAGATGACATCTCTCTTCCCCAGCCACTCCCATTTCCTAGTCGGCAAGCTCTCCAGCTCTATTACAACTTCTATTCCTTACACCTTCGTTTACCTCCTAGTTACCTCCAGATCTGGTATCACTACTTTCACCGCTCTACCACCTGAGACATCTCGGCTTCAGATTCCTGCACAGGGCTTATCACAATACTCCCCCACCAACATGGCAGCCACTCATTACCATCTATTCAAAGACGGATCCTTCAGTTTTGGAGGCATCTCCAAGACCGACGTCACACCGTATGCACCCTGGAACGAGCTGCTAAATCGACAAACCCAGGGAGTGTGGGTTACCTATGGACCAAATCGCTCCGCAAGCGATGCAGCCCGCGGTTGGGGAATTTTCATCCAGACTAAGGCCAACCAGATCATTCAAATTCACCCTTTCGAGAAGACACTAGGGAAAAACATTGTCGTCGCGGTCCAGCAATCTGCAACTAGGCATCGCAGCAGTGCTGCGAAGAGCGACTACGAAGAGATGATTTCGACCGCTACCTACATTTCTGGGCGAGCCACAGTTCCTGACACAACAGTCGGCGATATTCTCAACACCACCCAGCGATCCGGTATAGCCTATTACCGCCTCAAAGAGGGCCGAGGTCAGTATTTCCACCGCAGTAATTATATCCGCTTCAAGAAGCTCATGTACTAAGTAAGGTCACGCTTTGATAGGACTCAGATTTTGGATCTACATTGCCCTTGAGCAGATCGCGGTCCACCTGAAGAAACTGCAAGAGTCTATCGGAAGGATCGCACTCCAGAAGATGCGTGCAGAGACAATCTATGCCGGAGACCGAGTCATCAAAGGCATTGCGCTGGCGCACAAGTGGGACGGGGAGTCTCTTGACGTACTAGCTGAGTGCAATGCATATAACAAGGCATTGGAACTGCGCTTCGATACCTTTGGGTTTTAAGGGGTTGAACGACTTGTCGGGCTCCTAGTTGTTTCTGAGTCGAATATGTCCACATTTGCCGCCATTCACCGCCGTCTTGGTCTACGAAGTGTGGTCTCACTCAATTTTATTCCACCCGAGCCCAAATAATAAGGAAAACAATTAATAGAGGCACCTACGGTCTCACAGACCCACCATGTTGTTGCTTTAAAAGAGGGATTTGTAGCTGGCTGGTCGTCATACAAGGGACTGGGCGCAACGATGATTTCTCGCGGGTAAGGTTGGCTCTTTAAGTCAACAGAGGGGCGCATTTATGCTCCTAGGCTAGTCAATGTACCCGATTTGATAATAAGAACAAGATTGCCCACGAACAGATGATACTACAGTTACCTAGAAATCAAAGTAGAGAAGTAAGATGCAGTGTGACCGTTATGGGAACTAATTGTACCTATTTTCACTTCAGACCACTTAGGTAGCTCGCCACCCACAGCACTGGGCAGTCATTAGCACAATGCCCTTGGGCTGCCAACAAGCAAATTTTCACAATTTACTAGAAGATGCATTTGACTTGACTAGCAATATATTTACATCTGACGAAAGCCGTAGTGAAGGCTTTAGTCATATTATGACGTAAGGTACTTCAGATGCGCGTCCAGTGCCATTCCGATGTGGTGGGTAGGCAAGGAAAGGTCTAACACAATAAGCCATTTTCCTTTGTCCATTTTGTAAATAACGACATTTCTAATAGAAGTTCATTGTTTCTTCTATCCTCGGCATTCTGTGGGAGGTCAATGATCTAGTCGTACGAAGCGCAGATGACAGCAACGCTTAAATGTGGAAGCACCCTCATTGCACAGGCTAATTAGATTCATAGTGATCGAGTTTAAAGGAAGGCCAAGTTTATAGTTAACGATATTAACAACAGTCATTTCCACCCCAAATCCGATTGGATTACCCTGTGAAGTGGTCAAGAGAGGCTTGTGCGAGTTAGAATCATAGGACGGGTAACTGGCATAGCGAAAAGAACAATGCAACTGTTTCGGGAAAGTGGTTGGTGAGGTGTAGTACCAACAATACGTAATAACAGCAGGAGCGAGGCAAGCTGTGACAGGATGGTAAGTACTTAGACTAAGGGGAAAAGGAAACAAAGATACAGTTGAAAGAACGACTCGGTTGTTCTCAATTATTCTTGTTTCCTAGGCCATATAAATGCTAACTAGAACCAACCAAGTACCCATCATTCTCGGTATAAGCCAAAGCGACTACTTCATCTAAAACTCCGAACTCATCATTTTCGACGATCCGATCCGAAGATTCATATCTGGTATTCGACAATATGTCACTCCCAATTATTTACCTTACTGGCGCTGCGGCTTGTGGCAAAGGCACACTCGGCAAAATGCTTGCTGCCAACTTCGGCTTTTACCACTTATCGATGGGGGACACTCGACGTAAATACCTAGAAGCCACAAAGGGCGCAATCCCAGGAATGCCGGATGAGATAAACAAGCACATCCTCGAAGGTAAGGAGATCCCTGAAGAATTACTAGCACAGTTCAATCCAGTGCCGGTAGTCTTAAAGTATCACAATTGCCGAGTCAATGGGATAAATACATGGGCTATTGCGCCCGACATCCTGGAAGAAAAAATGATGGAGGCGCGAGCCGAAGGTAAGCACAAGGCCATCATCATCGACGGATTCCCGCTAAGGACGGGAAACGTATCGAAAATACTTGTACGGCATTTCATCGTACCCTTCTCAGGGCTGACGATCGTCATCGAAAGCCCACGAGAAGTTGCCAAGAAGCGCTATATCGAGCGTGCAAGGCTCGTCAGCGAAAACGCAGAGAAATTTGAGGCTCGCGCGGAAAGAACTGACAGGGCTCTTCCTCCTTTCATCGAGCTCATGTCAGAATTGGGTTCAGTCGTAGTGTCGACAAACGATGACACGATGACTATCCAAGATGCATATAATGCTTTGGTTTCGCAGTTGTACAACTGTCCAATCTTCCTCACGTTGATTCAAAGAAACAGGAACAGTATTTAGGTTGTAAGCATTTCACTACTAACCTAGACTATTGTTAGAAGAAGGACAATACAACATTGACTATGAAAAGACCTAATATATTTATTTAACTCTCATTGACAATTCCTCTCGCTTCTTATCAATTCAATTTTGATTGTCTATTGCAGACTTAGCACTCTGTTAAATTATGTATCTTGAGAAACCAACGTCAAGAAAAGAAATTCTTGCATTTCAATGGAGAAACATTCCCTGGTAGACCTAGACTCGAGAGAAATGCTTGAAAACAGCATCGTGAAAAGTAAGTCGAGCTTATTACGTTTCAACAATCCAGATACTCGCTTTGTTAAGAATCAGTACGGTCTGGGACATGAATGCAAGTGACTTAGGAGTCTGAAAATTTGAGATAGTTACACGATGGAGTCTATGACTTCCTCAATTGGCCGTCCAAGGGACATACACAGTACACGTAGAAATATCAGCACAGTCTGAGCATAACAGGTAGATTTGCCAGCGACCGTAAATGTTCTCTGCCATCACCATAGCTGATCTAGTGGTATGAATTCCCTTTACTATTATCTTTCTTAGGTACATGCTGCACGTGAATAAGATATTGTAAGTTTTGAATAAAAGTTGTGGCTTCTTCCGTTGTGGTATACTGTATTGACAGACAGTGCACAGGTACCATTTTAGTTACGGTGCGATGGTAATTGAAGTTGTACAGTGTTGAATCGCTCTGCCCTCACTGTCGCGTGTTGAGAATAGAGCACAAGATTGAATACCTCAAATCCAACAATTGCCTCTATGGCGTAGTGGTAGCGCGTGTCACTTGTATTACGTAATCAATACAGTTACAAGATCATGACAAGGTCTCTAGTTCAATCCTGGATGGAGGCAATTATTTCATTTTTGTTTGTCTGTATCAGATAGATCATCATATTTCATTGTCTTTTTGATAGCTAGAGCTTGGCGAGCCGATTGAGGAGAGTACTTCCCCACCTTTCCCAATTAGGCAGTGCCCCATAAATGCAATGGCTAGTTGATCTACTCCCACAGAGCTCGTTTCATTAGGTACCTAGGTACTCTTCGGAGAGCTGCCAAGCTTGGTGGCCGCCCGATCTGAAGTGGAGGGGTAATAAGGTTTGGCGATGGTGATGGTATTCCTTCAATTTTTGCTACAGTGCACTCACTACTCTCTCCTTTCAAGCTCGTAATGTTGTTGAACTTGGTAGGCGCATCCATTAAGCTTTGCATCATTTGAGCTGGCATGATGAACCCAGACAGGAGCTGTACGCTTTTCAGGGCAGTAGCGGGGTAAACACATAGTGGGGGATTGGGATGGGTGAATCATTGCTTTCATTGTCACCAACAATTATGGGAGGCACAGTGGGATGCTCAACCATTACTTCCATTATCACTGACCGTTACTGCGGTGTTTGGTTCAGTGCAGGTCGCAGGCTGCAGGTGCACGAGGAGACAGCCACAGAAGGCACAGGGTGAGAGGCTCAGGAAGAAGTCGTAAGACGATCTCTGTATATAGCCAGTTTCCGCACAGCCCACAACCACCATCACCTCTACAACCATCAACACCCATACGAACCCTACCATTTTTGAGACTTCCTGTTTATCCTATCAATCCTTTTATTATATTACTTTACAGACCAATATCAACGTTTCCAACACCTATAATACCTCTTGAACGCTATTTCAGCAACTTTTTGTACATCCAAATCCGCTCGAACCACGCACAATCGAAGAGGTAACATCTAGACCAGTGATTGATCCCAAAGTTCAAGATGGAGAAAGCAAATACAACTATCCTCGGCCCCAATGTCTTTGTGTTTGATGCGAGTATGCCGATGACGGCTATACAAGACAAAGTGACAGCTATCTTCAAACAGATGGAGGCCAATGAGTTCGGCCCAGAACGCTATGCATTGCTTTTCAAGCCAGGAACATACAAACTCCTTTTTGACGTGGGCTTCTACACCCATGTAGCAGGTCTTGGGAAGAATCCTGATGATGTGCTCATTGATGGCGGTGTAAACGTACCAGCTTATTGGATGCCGAATCGGAATGCTACATGCAATTTCTGGCGTACCTTCGAGAATTTTGCTATCAACGCCTCCCCTGCCACCCACAGTACAACTACGATAGCTGTGTCGCAAGCTGCCCCAATCCGTCGAATGCATATCCGAAGTTCCGGTGGCCTCTGGTTATTTCAGGTCGACCCGGCCACTGGAGCTGGTGGTTATGCCTCAGGCGGCTTCATGGCCGACTCAGTGGTCGATCAGGTAGTGTTGCCTGGCTCACAGCAGCAGTGGCTGTCGCGGAACAACAAGTATGGCCACTGGGCGAACGGAGTATGGAATATGGTATTCGTTGGTGATGCAGACGCACCTAGCCAAGATAACTTTCCAACAACCCCTTACACCACTATACAACAAACACCAATCATTCGAGAAAAGCCATACCTTTATGTTACTGGCCGAAATCAGTATGAGGTCTTTGTTCCTGCCTTGCAGAAAAATACTCAGGGACCGAGCTGGATCAACGGAAAGGCAACGCCAGGTAAATCTATCTCGATAGACAAGTTCCACATTGCCCATCCAACAGACGCTAGCACAGCTAGTATCAATAGGGCATTAGACAAAGGGAAGCACATTCTCTTTACACCTGGTATCTTCAAGCTTAACGACACGGTACATGTCACAAAGGCCAACACCATCATTCTTGGGCTAGGTCAACCATCTCTTCTTCCTAGCAATGGACGCCCAGCGATTTCAGTGGCCGACGTAGGCGGTGTGACAATAGCAGGCTTGATCATTGATGCTGGTGAGGTCCTGTCACCAAGTCTGATTGAAGTTGGACCTCAAGGCAGCTCCGCCTGCCATGCATCCAACCCCACGTTTCTCTATGACTTGACCGTGCGGACGGCCGGTCATTGCAAGAACGATGTAGCCATGGCAATCAATAGCCACAACGTGGTTGGAGAGCAGCTATGGCTGTGGCGTGCCGACCATGGTGAAGGGGCGGCGTGGAACTCGAATCCAACAAAGAATGGTGTAGTCATCAACGGGAACGATGTGACTATCTATGGGCTGTTCAACGAGCATCATAAAGAGTACCAAACGCTTTGGAACGGAAATGGCGGCCGCTTGTACTTCTATCAGTCCGAAATCCCTTACGACCCGCCAGATCAAGGTTCATGGATGCGCGGTATAACGAACGGATTCGCTTCGTACAAGGTAGCCGACAACGTGACGAGTCATGAGGCTTGGGGACTAGGTATCTACTCATTTTTCCGCGACTCGGCCACGAAGCTTGAAAACGCGGTTGAGGTTCCCGAAGTCAAGGGTGTCAAGTTGCACCACTTAACCACCGTGTGGTTGACGGGAACACCCGGCAGTGAAATCAGTCATATCGTGAACGGGAGGGGAGACCGGGTTTTTGCGAATAACCCCGCCTCAGCGATGCGGCAGACTGTGAATGAGTTTCCTTATTGACAGGGATTTATGAGGCAGCTTGATGCAGGTGGTTATGTAGCTTCAAGATTGTAATTCGTAAAGCAACTTGATTTCGGGCGGTTAGGGGTACTTAGCTGCAAGATTATGAATCGAAAAAACAGCTTGATTTGGGTGGTTAAGGTGTATTTAGCTTCAAGATTGCATAAATTAGATAGTGATATAACCTTGTCGATTCCGGGCAGCCCAAATAGTCCATCCTAGGGCCCCCTGACTTGGGATCAGCCGCAGAGCAAGGCAATGATGTCAGCCCCCACACTAGCTTTTTCTTGTCAGCCACACATCTCGGGGCTATCACTGTACGACGACGTCAAACCCTCCACAATCTCGATCAAGTCCCTTATCAGGTCTAGAAAATCAAGTTTCTTGGCCCGACACGCAACATCTAGTGACGTGAATGAGCCTAGGTTTCAAATCTTGCCTTGTCTCCGGGGAACTGAGTGCATCATGTAAAGATCCTTGATAGTATCGACATTCCCCTTATATTACCTCCGTAGTGCTCGCATCCACCTGTAGTGAGTCTCAATATACCCTAACTTTCCAACCAACTAGCCTCCCTACTACTCTCACCTTGTTGGATAAGTTCGAATTTATGTCCAATATTTGAAGATTGTCTATCAGAAGTCATCAGGATGTCCGAAACCGAAGCGAAGCCAGCGCCCTACGCTGAGAGCGCAACAGAGAGCTCCGTCTCTCCATCACGCTCCCCCCACCGTCGTCGCCGTGGGCGCAAAGGAAAAGGCCAGCAGCAGGCCGTGCAGCAGCAGATGCAAGATCCGCAACAGGACTGGCAGCAGCAACAGATGCAGATGGCACAACAACAGCAGATGATGCAGATGCAGCAACAACAAGGTGGCGGTGACGACAAGAGTGATACCCTCAAGTTACGACTTGATCTGAATATCGAGGTCGAAGTCACACTCAAGGCTCGTTTGCACGGAGATTTGACGCTGTCTCTTCTGTAAGTGCCTGTTACTTTTCTTCCCGTGATTCGGAAATGTGCTGGTTCAAGTCATACTAATTTGCTGCTAAGGGACACGTAAGAGACTTGTTGAGGTCACATCCCGCGGTGCGAGCTGGGTTAGCTCACATAGGGTATGCATTTGGTTTTTCTTATTGTCAAGTGTGTGGAACGGCTGCGGAACTCCAAATTGGTTTTTCTTCCCAACGTCGCTAGCATCAGCGTGGACTTCCATCTCGGCTAGCTCTCGCGAGAGTTTTAACGTTATGGATGTCGCTGTACGGCATGATTGTATGAGACATGATGGTTATGTGAGGCTTTTTATTTTTCATCCCTAGATCCATTGTAATCATCATGAATCCAAAATTTAATATTCTGGTATTACTACGTGATAACGAGCCACATTCTAGATTGGAAACCAGGAGACTTACTGCCTTCATCTCGTTGTTCTTTAATCATTGTGCTAAGCCAAATACCATCGCTAAGCACTAATCTGCCCAAACGAAATGATGATCATATCGCATCAAGTTACGAGAAATAGCCTACTGGGTACCTGTCTCAAATCATAATTATCGCAACCACTCGAGAAGTCATCAGGACAAGAACACGAACATAGCCTCAACGCTCGTACAACAATCTCAACATCTCAGTACTTCTCACGGCGGTGTAAGCACAATCCACTTCCCCGTCCAGCCTTCAAAGATATTGATAATCAAGGCTTCAGTCCTTCTCCAGGGGACCATGAACGCGCCCGAGTTGAACATTGGCGAGTAAACGACTACTCGTCCCTTACTATACTCATCCTCTTTGTCATCCTTCTCATCATCGCTTTTGCTCTTCGCGCTACGGTCCTCAAGTACCCCTCTGAACTCGCGCAATGCCTTAGCAGTCAGTACCAAGATCTTCTCAGCGCCATCGCGTCTAGGTTTCTTCCCTCTCTTGGCACTATGGCCGTAACTCGTGAACAGACAAATGACAGAGACGCCCGGCGCACCGGCCGCGACATCGGCCCTCTGCAGTGGGATCACGAGATAGTAGCCCGCGAGGTCGCGCGAGGGATATTCTGTGTCGGGACTCGGCTTGGAACCCCTCGTAGAACAATTAGTAGACCCCGAAAGTGGTCGGGAAGATACTACGGAGCTCAAGCGCGATGCCTTAGCCCCATTGCCCGAGACCATTCGTTGCGTGCACGAGGTGGGTGTTCTCTGGCTGGAGCTTAAGGGGGAGGGTCGTCTGAGTTAATGAGATGTTGAACTTAATTTAGGGTGTGGATTAGTTTGCGGCGTTGGTGAGGCCATGGTGAGCGGGTGCAAGTGGTTTTGGGGAGGATACCTTGGTATCTACATGTACTTGCAGGATGGGTGGTGCAATGTAAGTAACAATCCATTACCTGGTAATCTAATATCTGCCTG